CAGTCCCCGCACCATGACAATCCTCTATAATTCGATGCATGACTTATGCATACATGGGGGTAATGCCGCTGCTCGGACGACAGAGCGGCTGCAGCTGCTCCATGGAGGTGCAAGGCTAGTGTATCGTATGACGAGGAGCATGAGGGTGTACTGCCCTTTCAAGAGACAGCACGTTGCTCGTCTGCATCACTCGGCACTCTGCTCGCGACGTAGTGCTAAGATGTTGTGACAAGCGTTCCACAAAGCCCCCAAGCCACAGTGATTTGACAATCACCTTGGCCAGAGTGAGTGCAAGGATGAGTACGATTGGGGACATGGCTCCGCTTCCATAATCGAGGGCGCTACCCGCTAGGTCGGCCGCCGGTGCCTTTCGCCCGCAGTTGTGACCGCACCGGTCGCGATGCCCAGCATGGCAAAATTGTAACCGTTCGTAGAGGCGGTTACAGATCTCTCGCCACAAAGGTTTTCATCATCTTTCAAGGCGCCGACGACGGTCGTCGCCGCCGTCGATCCCTTTCGACCTACACACCGCGCGGGGCGACGATGCTGGAGAAATGGGTTGAAGGCTTGATCGTCGAGTACTTTTCCGAGTGGCTGGAAGGGTTCGACAAGGACGGGGTGCGCATCGGGCTCTTTAGCGGTAAACTTTGCTTCCAGAACCTCAAGTTCCGCAAGCAGGCGCTCGACAAGCTCAACGTGCCGATCGTACTCAAGGAAGGTCGTCTTGGATCGCTCCACGTCAAGGTCCCGTGGAAACGCCTGTCGAAGGAGTCGGTGCACATCGTGCTGGAGGATCTGTATTTGCTCGTGGGGCCGTACCACGACGAATCGAGCGAAACACAAACGACGGTGGACGATCGAATGCGACACGCCAAGCAGCACGACATTCGGTTGCGGGAGCTGCTGCAGGCCACTGCCAACGATGCGGCGGACGCGATCCTGTCGCCGCCGACAAGTCCAACCAAACCGTCGTCGTCGTCTTCCAACTCATGGAAACAAAAGATGCTCAACTTGGTGCTAGACAACCTCATGTTTGAACTCAAGCACATTCATATTCGATACGAAGATACGTCACGCATGGTGTCCAACCGACCCGTCTCGTTCGGGCTCTCGATTGACCAGCTCAAAGTGGCGACCACAAACGCGAATGGTCATGTGATGTTCATGGACCGGTCAGCGTCGCACACACCGTTTGTGCACAAGTTATTTGACGTGGTCGAAGGGTACATTTACTGGGACCTCCACGCCGCCACCACCACACCCTCGGACGAAGCGCTGACAGCGTCCAAAATGACGTATCTGGTCGAGCCCATGACGACGTCCATCAAAATTACAGAGAACCACGACGCAGTGTCGCACCAATTCATTCCACAGTACCGCGTCCACATCGCGCTGCCGTCGTTACGAATGACGATCTCGCCAAGTCAGTGCAAAGACGTCGCAAACGTGGTCGATTTTCTCGTGGGCCATGAAGTGTACCTCAAGCGCAGCCACTGCCGCAAGGCGCGACCACGGTGCTCCGTGCACGAGAGCCCCAAGCGCTGGTGGAAGTATGCGATTCAGTCGGTCCAGGCCCTCGAACACAACCCACACAAGTGCACGTGGCGGAAAACGATCGCGCTCCTTGTGCTCCGGAGTCAATACATTGCACTCTACATGCGACTCCTGCCCCTGTTGGCCGCCGAGAAACCCATCCCAGACGTTGACGCCCAGCAGCGCCGGATCCTCGAAGACGACCCTCGCCTCTCGGCGGACTGCATTGTATTTTTTCGCGCGTGCGCTGCCGCCGAGCTTGAAATGGAAGCAAACCGCCGCAAACAACTCGCGAAATCGACGGCAACGGCCGGTGCATACAAGTGGACTAGCATGCTCAAGAAATCGTCGTCCAAGCAAAACACGCCAGTGGGCTCGCCCCGAACCGGCGTGGGTTTCTTTTCACCGAAACATGCTGTCGCCCAGCCGAGTTCACCGGCTGTCACAACGGCAGGGGGCACCAGTCCCGTTGCATCGCCGAAAACTTCGGCTGCAGCGTCAGCCCCGTCGCCTCTGCTCACGCTGGACCCCCTCGAGCGCCAGCTTGTTTACGAAGGAGTGAGCCAGCGGCATTTCGATCCCCCCGGGTTGAAAAAAGCTCCGCCATCAGCTCCATCGAGCCCAACTGCGTCGTTGCGGGCGTCCACCGCTACAACGGCCGATGTGACGTTGAAACCAGGGCAACTACTTGGGCTTGACATTGCCATCGCCGAGATCGTGTGCGCCGTGGCGAAGGAGCCCAAGGGGGCGTCAACCACCCGCAAAGAGTTTGTACGGTTTCTCGTCGCTGATTTTGTGTGGACGTACAACCAGCACATGCGCCAGCCGACGTCGACGGGGATTTCCAACGCTACCCTACCACCCGAAGTGAGCACGGTGTTCCAGATCCGAGACATGCAGCTCGTCGACGCGACGCAGCCGTCGGAAAGTCCACTGGCAGTCATCTTTGGCCATGCCAAGAAAGCCAAAATGACGGCTCTCGTCGTAGTCAAGTACAATCGCCGGCCGGGCGTGGAAACTTCGCTGCATGTCGCCATCGACGCGTGCAACTTGCTGTACCACAAGACCGCGGTTGACAAAATGTACAAGTACATCACGCCCGACCAAAACCACTCGTCCAAGAGTACGAAAGCCGCCGCCGGACCGACGGAAGCGCCACCGGCTGCAGAAACTTCGCCGTCCTATGTGACGGTACCCGACGGCCCAGCGGCAGCGATGACGACACCTCTGCGACTCACCGTCGACATCACGGACGCCACGATCAACATCGCTGGCGAATCCGCCCGCACCGCAGGGCCAACGAGTCGCGACGACATCGGATCCTGCCCGTTTCTCGTGGTCCACGCAACAAATATCCACGTGCGATCGAGTGATGTGGCTATCGCAGTCGAGACATCCGCCGACACCATCGACACCGTCGTCGTCGACCAAGTCCACGTCGCAAGCGTGTGGGATGAACTGTCCTTGCAAGCCAACTGCCGCGTTCTCAAAAAGTTAAAGTTGCAGTGGACGATCCGTCGCGACGAACTGTGCTGGTCCAACAACGTGCGGCTGTCGACGTTTGCAGCCAACATGTCCGAGGTCCAAGTGCGGCAGTTGGTTCACCTGGGAACGTACTTGAGCCAAACCAAACGATCCGCCACCGCGACAAATCGAGTGGCGCCAGCCGTCCCTGCAAGACCCCGCATCGTTCCCGTCGAAATCGCCGTCGTTGTTCCGACCGTATCGGTCCGCCTGGTTGGCAACGAACGGCTGCGAAATGGTCTGTTCGTCGAAGCCACGTCCATGACAAAGACCGTGAAATGCATGCGAGACCTGACGTCCATCCATTTCACGGTCGCGGCGTTGGCCGCAAACGAAGCCACACACACGAGCGGTGTCCACCGTCCGTACTCGTTTGGGCGAACATTATTGCGTCTCTCGGCACCGCTGACCGTATTCACCGTGGTCGGTCGCGACGCGCCACCCACTCTACGTGTCGACGTCCCGCAAGTCCATTTTTGTTGGCATTACCATCTCATTCAGGACATTCTGGCCCTCGTGGTCGCGCCGATGCCGCTACCGCCGCCCGTCGACAGTACGACGACTCTGTTTCTCCATGTGCGGCTGAACATTGGCACTTGGACGTTGGCGATGAATCCGGTCGTGGGCCCAATGGAGATCGAGTTGAGTGGCCACGACGTTGAAAGCACCGTGGAAGTGTTCGTGAACGGCGATGTGTTTGTGGACGCGACTGTGTCGAACGTCGAGATGATCACGACGTCCGGGAAAGCGCTGCAGGACGACGATAGCACTGTGGACGCCGAAATGCCGCCATCGGACAAGACTCGCCGCCGCGATGTTCTCTTCACGCTGCCCGACTCAAGCACGGTGCGGTACGAAGCGAGCGGCGAGTACTCGCTTCAGGACCGCGACGGCGCGGCCGCCTTTCTCGACATTTGCGTCACCCGCGCCCACATGACCTACATCCACGTGCCGTATTCGACCCTCGCCACGTACACTGCAACGTACGTGGCCGAAGTGTTTACTTGGCTGTACTTGGCACGGGAAGGCGAGACCGGCAAGACTACGATGGACCCGTCCATGCTTCGCATGAAGCTCCAGGGGAGCATCGATCGAGTGGACGTCACGATTCCAAACCAAACAAAGTGTTGGGACCACGATGACGGCAGCTTCGCGAAAGGTGCGACGAAGCCAACGGCCATCACCCTGCAGGCCACGGGCGTGCAGTTGTCCTCGGCCCGATACCTGGATACGCCGTATGAACAACTGACAGTGACATTGCGAAGATTGAAGCAGCCCCATGGTGCGCAGGTGGCACTGCATTCGCCGCACGGGTGCAGCACGTCCTGCAGATTACAGAGAACAGACAACTCGTGACAATTCACATCCCAACGTTGCACGCGGCGTTGGACGTCGCCGCGCTCGACCAGGTTCTGTCGGTAGTGGCCACGAATTTTATGGCACCATGCGACATCGAGTCCGACGTGGACCGACCTTTGTTGGCGCTGGGGGTGCCGTTGCGACCGGCCACGGGTGTTGAAACAACCGTGTCGATGGGCGTTGAATCGTTCGACGTGAGCTCGGCCATTGCACGAGGACACTGTCGGCTCGCCGTCCAAGCGCTGCATGTCGGAGTCCATGCGACAGCAACGAGCCAAACGACGGTAGAAGTGACGTGGCTGCGCCTCGATCTCGCCGACGCCGACCGCGTGTGCCAAGTGCAGACGTCCGGACGTCCTCACATCGAGTTGGAAATCGACCCGACCGGGCAGACAACCCTCGAGATATCCCTGGACGGGCTGCATGTGATTCCGGACGTCCAAGTTCTGAGCGAGTGGACGTCATTTGGTCTGGCACTGGGGACCGCGGCGGCAACGTACTCCAGCGCTGTCCCAGCCGCCGCCACTGCTGCCTTGTCTGTGCATGTCAAAGTCAGAGCCGTGCAAATCCAACTCTCCGCCGCTCGCCATGACGCGGCGGCGCCAACATCCCATCTTGTCCTGCACACTGGCGTTCACGCCACGCTGCACAAATCGATTCTGCGCGTCGAAGGAAACGCCATAACTTTGGTGGTGGCGCATGCGTGGCCCCTTCCGCCGGCCCTTGACCTGCCTGACGCCTTCCATTTAGCACTGGCGGACGCAGTTGGCCGCGCTTTGTGCGTCCCATTCCACGTCGAGATCGACGTGGCGTCGACGGCGCTCCAAGTCGAGCTGTCGCCTGTGGAGCTCGTCCTGAGCCCGACAGACTTGTGGCTGCTGACGTTGACCGCGTCAGCATATGCCGCAGCCATCGCACAGGTCGCATTCCCCACGACCAGCTCGCCGTCTCGTTCGACGCCAACGACATCAGACTTCTTTGTCAGCGTGGTGGTGTCACAGGCGTCGATCACGCTTGTCGCCCCCGAAAGCAAAGCGATCCCATCTCGTGTGGATGGCCAACAAGCATCGACTCCCCACTTGGTGCCCAAGATCCGAGTGTATGGCCACCGTGCGCTGTTCAAATACTCGTCCAAGTATGTGGCGGCCATGTCGCAGTCGACGGAGTGGAGTGTTTCGTTCACGGACGACTCGTGCGGCAGCGTGGACGATGGCATGAGCGTGTGGTGCTTCAATGGAGCGCTGGGCGTATGGGAGCCGTGGATCGAACCGTGGTCGTACATGGTGGCCATGGTGCAAACCGTCGAAGACGACACCACGATTCATCGAGTGGCTTTTCGCGGGTCGAA